GCGTCGAAAAATCGTTATTTAGTTCTAGATTGCGTGATAGCGAGTTTAGTGATAAGGAATGTATATTGAAATTATCATAGACTATATTGTAATAACAGATTAGAGAAGGATAATTCGTCTTGTTAATTGTGTTCTAAAGTAACTGAACCAGTCTGTGTGGATTTTGACGAAAAATTGACAATTATTTAAAGCTCTGAATACAACTGTGGTAACCAACAGTGTAACGAACATTTGTATATACGTTTGATTTGTGTTTAATATATTATTTTTAAATAAAGTGGGCTGTGTTGCTGTTTGTTTATCATTATAATTTATCGCCAAATCACAGACACCTACTGTAAAGACTTGCTTGCTTGTAATTAAATACAAAGCTACACAATGGGCAATCTGTTCTCTGTCCACCACGGGTATCGAAACCCGGTTTCTAGCGTTGTAAGTCCGCAGATATACCGCTGTGCTACTGGGAGGGGGATGTAAAGAATCCGGCCTTAAAAAACTTGACAATGACTATAAATGCCGTGATAAAACTCGTCCAATTCAACCGTTACAACAAGTTTACTGTTCTTCACGACTATAAATACCGTAATAAAACTCGTCCAAATCCAACCAATATGATAAGTTTGTTGTTCTGTAAAAATAAGCTAGTATAATACTTGTAATCTCAGTGCTTATTCGTGAAGGAAATTGTGTGTGTGTGTGTGTGTTCAGTTACCTACACCAGAATACAATCATTGAATACTGACTTACGGAACAGGTTTCGATCCCACGACTTTTAGATTACGAGTCGAGTCTCCTTACAGCCAAACCATGCCACTACAAATGACTACAATTAATATAAATATACATGAACTGTCACTTTGTAAGTGTTTTTATGACTCTTAATTTTCAACTGTGGCTTCGACTAAAAAAACAATACAATACAGCGTATATGTCGACTTCAGAAAATCCATCCCAGTTAGGATTCTGCTATTTTAATTCTGGAAAAATTCGTACATCTACACATACTCACACATTTGTTTATGTTGACCAATATTTTTTTAAGAAAAACAAATTTTATTGATGAATAATAATTTCATTACAGCTTTCACATGACTTGCCTCGCTCATCAACATGGTGACTAGTGCTCCGAGTAGGTAATCAAAAGGTCCAAGGTTCGACCAGAAATATGTTAATGAACATGCTTTGCATTTTCAGAAATGATGGCGTTATGACTGTGAGAATCAATCATTCTATTTGGTTAAAATCTAGTCGCACAGGCGGCGGATGCTGCTGACTGGTTACCTTACCTCTGTTATCTCTATTCTGGAGTTCTAAAAGTTAAGGATGGCTATAGTGAACCTTGGGAAGGGTTTCTGTCCTGGTCGTTTAAACCATTGTGTCGCATAAAATACCAATACCATGTCCCTCATTAACGATTTCTGGAAAACATAAAGTCGTTCTATACTCCCATCGGTGCAATTATTTCTGTTTTCCTTTTTTTTTTTTAGTAATGATTTATGGTTAATTTTTGGTCGACTAAAAGAAGTTTGTTTGTTTCAAATAATCTGGGTAAGCTCTCCCTAATTTTGGACTGATAGACTAAAGGGGAGGCAGCTTGTTAACAGCATCAATCACTAGCTTTTGGGATACTCTAATCGGAGAGTCGGATTTTACCTTCACTCTTATAACGCATCCACGACCTCAGAGTGCAAAGCACGATCCTGCGGCAGAAAACCCTCAGATTTACAGTCCAGTAAGCTATCAATTGATACACACCCAGCCCTATCAAAAGAAGACAAAAGCATTGGCCAAGGCCAAGTCAGCTGCCATTATTCGTTAAAATAATACCTTTAAAAAATGGCAATATTCTCAACCAAAATGACTATTTTTTGTGTTAATTATTGAAATACCGTGTAATAAAGTTATTCCATGCAACGTGAAACATTTTTTTAGTTGTGTCATATATTAAAATAAATTAAGAAGATCTTCATTTCAAAAGCTTGTTTATTGTAATTTTCATTTTTACACTGATGTGGTCTTGTTTATTGTAACTTTCAATTTTACACTGATGTGGTCGTTTTCTAGTTTTAAATATTTTTCGGCCAGAAAAGCAGTCTTATATTGTACATGTGCTTTAAAATATATATATCTACACATGCAATTATCGTTGGAATGTCAAGTTTCATTACGAAAATATATATCAAACTGTACCTTTGCTTATAGCTGTGACTGAGCAATGTGCTTCTGGTTTACAAAGATACCGATACCGAACATAAATGCAGAATGATTAGTACATTTACTTCAAGCACTTATCTATGCCCATTACGAGTTTATAACGAAGGTCTTGATTGTGTTATTGAGAGAAGAAATCGCATTTTCCTCTTAACCTATCTATAAAAGGATATTTCATACAACAGTTTCACATTTTCATAACATTTTTAGAAGATCCAAGTCATCCAATCTTACTGCATTAAATTATGTATATCATTTCTTAAGAATGTGTGTAAAACCTCTACAGTTAGAGCCTTCTAAAACGATTGAAAGGTGTAATCGTCTTGCAGTGTGCCGTGGGAGCTCAATAATTAGCATAATGGGCAGCAAAATTTCACCTTCAAAGAAACATCTGCAAAAAGCACTTAAGGATTTCCACTACATATGAAGAATCACGTTTCAGGATTAAATCCATAGATTTGAAGTGTAATTAGTCTCTTGAAGGTCAAATATAATACCGTTCTTGTGTACGATACGATTCCCGACTGTGACGACGATCTTTCACGTTCTTTTATGAGTTTCTTTCCAAAATATACATTTAGACCTCTTAAGTGGTTTGTGAAAATTAGTCTGATGAAAGTAAAATATCATTGTGACATGTTTAATGCTTTGCTTTAAGTGTTTTCCCTTGGTGTATAATTTTTTGTTGTCGTAGAATGCGCTAATGTGCATTATGATTGGCTAGAATTTAAATTTAAACACAGTAGCGTCTGTTAGTTTCTCACTGTCTAAAAAAGGTGAGAAATTTCATTCTGTTACTCCACAATCGTTTATATTGACATCAAACCTATTTCAATCTGAAAATAATTAAAAATCTACTTCTCTTACAAAGATCCATAAAGTATTCAGTATCAGATAAATAATAGACAAAGACATGGGCTCAAGCCTACTGAAGTGATTAAATAATTCGGAAAATTTTCAACAGACGAAGGATACTATCTGGTCCTGTGGTAAAGCCCTAGGTTTCGGAGCTGGCGAGCCGAGTTTGAATCCGTGCGATACCACATAATATTCCTCGCACTTTAAGTTGTGAGTGCGTTATAAGAGTGAGTCAATCACTTAAGATGAATGGTAGGTGGTAGGGTACTACTGACTGACTGGCTGCATTCCCTCTGTCAATAGTTCAAGATACAGCAGCAGATAGCCTTAGCAGCATTGCCATGAATACAAAATATATTAATGCTATGAACGTAACAAAAATGCAAAATTGTGAAGTTTCAACCTGCTAATCCTACATTCAAAAACGCACACAAGGTAAGTTTCAAGTAAATTTAACCATTATCATGTTATATTTGTTTTAAAATCATTGTATTATTTATTCTTTAGAAATATTATGATATTAGATGATTAACTCTCAAAGTACTGACTTGTTTTCATCGTTTTGAGTAATATCATGTGTTTGTCTGTCACAACGCTCAGTGTAAAGAATTGTCCAGATCATTGGAAGAAATCACCCATTTTCTATATAAAATTCATAGAGAACCCTAGCATTACTCAGCGGGATTAACGACTTTAAACTTTTTATGTGACTCGTGTTATTTGGAATTCTGTAAGCAATAATATTTTGGATCCACGGGAAATTTGGTGCATAAGTAGTTTTATTATTATTATTATTATTTTAATATGGTAGGGTCCATATGGATCCCCTTCGTTAATTGCGGAATAGGACTGGAGAATAAGAGTAATGAAATTATGTGTGTGCCACTGGAAAACGAGGATTAGAGAGTAGAAGTGAAGGTGATGATGAGGAGGGGAAGAAATCATACATTGTTTCCTACTCTTGTTACACCACTGACCTTTAACACAACATTTCTAAAACAAATTGCCATAATCCTTACTTTATGATTTAAATATATAATTCTAAAATTATATATGTTCAATGCACGAAATCTTAGTAGCAATAGTTAGGTGACATGACAGGGCGAAAACGATAAGAAAATAGAATATCTAGAGCATCTAGAGCATAGACAAGAGCTTATATGGCATAAATTTACACCAAACTGAACTTTTTCACGCTTACAATAAGCTCGTTTCCCATTGAAAAATCAAACATTCATATACTATGTGTTGCACACGTTACAGTCTTTAAATATCTACAACATTTCTAAGACATAATTACGTAAACATTATTTCTTGAAATACAAAAGCAGCTCACTCATACACCAAATTCTGTGTATATATTGTCACAGTTTCCCAGTGATATACCAAGGATGAACGTGCAAGTGTATTCTTTTGATGTTTTAACATATGTTACTTGAACCTAATCAGGATTTTGGAAAAGTCACCCGTAATAAATACTGCACGTTAAGAATCATTTAGCAAGTTGTGAAAGTCACACACCACACAATGCCTGGAGAAGACAGACTGACACATATCATAGGGAGAAAAAAAACTAACATGAGTATTAATATGTTCTTTGACAAGTTTAGAGACTAACTGCAGAGAACTTACCCTGTAAACAAGAAAGTAATAAGAAAAGAAAATTCAGTAAAAACCATTCCAGCACGAAAAATTATAAACTATAAAGTTGGATTAGGAGGAAGAAGAGAAGCGTAAATAACTTTTGCAGGCACTGAATTTTTTTACCCCCGTTTGATAGTACAATCTAGTTGAAATTTCATATAAAGAAAAACCTGTGGGACGTTCCTCCCATGTTGAAATGCGCTATACTGTAAGTTATAGCACAGCCCCTGCTAGTGGCAAGCGACCAGTCCAGAAGGTTAGTTATATCAAGGCTAAAGAGCCTCGACATGCCACTGCACAGCTCCTGCTATTGGCAAGCGATTAGTACAGAGAGCTAGTTCAATTAAGCCTTAAGAACCTAACATGCTGCTGCATAGCCTCTGCAAGCGACCACTCCAGATGATTAGTAACACCGAGGCTTAAGAACCTCGACATACCACTACATAGCTCCTGCTGCCGGCAAGCGCCATGTCTAGAGGGCTAGTCCTACGAAGGTTTAAGAACACTTCCCTCTAGTAGAAAGCGATCAGTCTGGAGAGTTGATTATACCAAGGCTTAATAACCTCGACAAGTTACTGTACAACTCCTTGTAGTATTAAGTGAACATTTCAGACAGTTAGTTAAAACAAGACTCGGGAACCTTGACAAGTTACTGCTAGTGGCAAGCAAACAGTCCAGAGAGTTATTCATACCAAGGTTTGAGAACCTCGAAGTGCTAATACACAGCTCCTGCTAGTGGCAAGCGACGGATATATACACTGAATGGTCACAAGTAAATAGACACCTAATTTTTCGTCATTTAACTGATTTATGCTAACTAATTTGGGTTCACAAAGTACTATGTAAATGAAAATGGTCCGCACACTAATTATTTTGTGCTACAACATGCCTAGAACTCAAGGTTCTCTCGAATTGTCAGATTTTGTTAGAAGAAGGATAGTTGGTCAAGCAGATGGTGGAATAAGTCAGCGTCAAATTTCGCAGAATTTGGGAATACTGCTTACGACAGTCAACAGAATCATCGTGCAGTTCAGGAAACACGGCAAGGAAACAACTGAGCAGCGTCCGAGTCGTTTTGGTCCATCGGATAGGACAAAAAGGGCTGTCAAGAGGAGCATCGAAATGGATCCCAGATTAACGACCGCAGAAGTGGCCAAAGTTGGTGAGCCCGAAACCTGTTCAACGGACTCTCCACAAATTGGGTTATCGTTGCAGAGCAGCTACATGGAAGCCCTTATTAAGACCTGCCAACATAGTCAGACGAAAGAAGTGGGCAAGTGATATGATGACCAAGCCTCTGGACTTTTGGAAGACCGTATTGTTCTCAGACGAATTAAGATTCGCTCAATTTTCGGACAGTGGAAGGATATGGGTCTGGAGAATGCCTCACCAAGAGTTTTTGCTCAACAGATTGCAGCCAACTGTGAAGCATGGTGGTTTCAGCGTGATGGTTTGGGGAGCTGTTTGGGTTGGTAGGAGATCGAGCTTAGTGGAGTGCGTTGGCAACATAAATTTTGCGAAATACGTCGAAATATTGGAGGAAGGAGCTGGATACCATTTTCTTCCTGCCACTTTTGGGTGTTTCTAGCAGTGTGACACGGTGCTCCATCTTCCTGGAACAACGTTGTGTTCTTGTCCACGAAACCCGAGGAATAAAGTGGCAAGAAAGTTGCCCTGGCCGAGCCAATCTCCTGACATGAACCTCATCGAAAACCTCTGGGCCATAGTCGACCGGCAAGTCAAGAAACAACCAAAAAAACCAACTTCGAAGAGCGATCTACTCCAGGTTTTGAAGCAAGAGTGGGCGAAAATCCCACAATTTTAAATTGACGAGATGATTCTCACGATGCCCTAAAGGATCAACGAACTTCACGAAGCAAAAGGAAGATCTACTAGATATTAATTAAATTATAAATATATTAATTCATGTGAATATGACTGAAAATTTTCATTTTTTTCTGAAATGGTGGTGTCTATTTACTTGTGACCATGCTGTGTATAGTGGTTGAAACAAGAATTGTCTAAAGTACTTATTAACTATATAAAGGTGAGAGAAAATATTTATGTTATGGGTCTGTACAAAGTTGTATCCGATTCAATAATCTTGTTAGGTATTTGTATGTTAGTTATCCTCCTGGGTGGTCGGGATGTATTGGTGGTATAAGTGTAAAAGTGAATGGTATTTATTTCTTTAAGTGAATGTTACTTGTTGAACCACATATTGTCAATCCACAATGTATAACAGATTCTGCTAAATATGCATAAATTATTATTTTTTATTAATTGGTAAAATATTCTATATCCTCCATAATTTTACTGTAATAGGTCTTAACTTATTGCAAATCATATTTATATGTTTAGACCAACTATAAACATCATCTATATTTAGCCCTAAGTATGTCTTAGTATTAAAGATTTCTAGATACATACATTTACAATGAGAATAGTGCTTATAATTTACAAATATATGTATATATTTATTAATAAATCTTCGATAATGAATCTGTAAACGTTTTTTGTTAATAATATTTGTATATTGTGAGTGTTTGTTTTGTTTGAAGTTAAGCACAAAGCTATATAATGGGCTATCTGTGGTCTGCCCACCACGGGTATCGAAACCCGGTTTCTAGCGTTGTAAGTCCACAGAATACCGCTGTGCCACTGGGGGCATATTGTGAGTGAATTATCATAGTTTTTGTTTTATTAGTATTCATATATATATATATATTTCATTTATATTAAGCCAATATTTTAATTGTTCGATTCCCCTCGTTGGACACAGCAGATAGCCCGATGTGGCTTTGCTATAAGAAAACACACACACACACATTCAATATCTTAATTTATTGAAATCAACTTGTAACATTTCTTTGCCAACTTCCACATAAACATGACTTATAATTAAAACTGTCTGAATATTGATATATTTTACTCTTTAAACCTATATTTACAATATCATTAACATATAAATTAAATAGTAGTGAATCCAAAACAGAACCTTGTGAAACACCATATTTTATAGTCACTCATTATTTCTTTGATTCTTGTTATTACAACCATATAACTCAAATAATTCATGAAACAGTTATGTAACTTTCCCTTTATACCCATCATTTATAGTTTATCCAGCAGTATTTTATGGTTTCGTGTATCAAAATGTCTAGCTAAATCAAAAAATAATACAAGTACCTATTTATTTGTATCTAATTGCAAATTGCAAGTCGAGCGCCCTAACCACCTGGCCATGCCGAGTTCGTTTTAAGTATCTTAATTGCATAATATCAATTCCTGGTTCTTTGTATCCATTAAATTGACCATATTAATAACTTAATTCTTCTTCTGTTATTGGAGGAAAATGTATTGTATTAGTCTGCGAGATTACCCTCTCAAAATAATTTTATAAATTTATAACGGAGTTATTATTATTATTTTCATTATTATGATTACTTTTTAGAGTATTTATCTTATTAATAAACTCTCTATTAAAATTACTTGCTAAATCTGTATTACTTATATTGGTACTGATAAAATTTCGCTTTATGTTTTCTTCAAGTGATCCATCACTAACATGATTATTTGCTAATTTATTAATGCATTTCCAAGTTTCTTTCATTTTACCCTGAATGCGAAAAAAAAAAATGTCATATAATGATTCGCCCCCAGTGGCACAGCAGTATGTCCGTGGACTTACAACGCTAGAATCCGGGTTTCGATACCCGTGGTGGGCATAAGACAGGTAGCCCACTGTGTAGCTTTGTGCTTAATTACAAACAAACAAAATATAATGATTCTTTGTTG